CAAAACAGGTCAGAAATGCAATGCCATCTCTGTATTTCTTTGTGTCTTGATGGTAGTATAGAATTCGGATTTGAATGAACCTGTGAAAGATGTAGGATTTGAATGAAAGTGGTTATGTGCTAGGTCGTTAATAAATGATAGAAAGAGAATTAGAAGTTAATGCATATAGGTAGATGTCTCATCCGACGTGACTTGATAGGGCTCTTCTTCTTGAAGTTTTTCATCTGAGTAAAACTCAATAAACTCCATATTTGCTCTGATCTTCGTGATAGAAGAATCTTGCACAAGCAAAAGAAAGATGTATCAAAAAGTAAATCAACAAATAAGGAAAATACTTCAAAAAAATAGAAATGAATATTTTTTTTTAAAAACAAATCCGAAAAATTCAAATAACAACAGGAAAAATTCAGTTTTTATTTTATTTTCTGGTTTTATAAATATAAAATACGAAATTAATTTAGACTAACAAAAAATATGATTTTTATGGCTTTTCTTTTAATGAATCCGAAATAAATAAGAAAATGGAAATAAAACAATATATATATTTTTTTTTAGTTAATAAAATACTGAAGCAAATAACAAGATTAAAGCAAGGTATAAAAATTTATTTGATTTTTTTTTTATATATATAAAATAAAAATAATAAGAAAATTAGAAAAACAAATATAGGTTGAAAGATACAACCTTGGGGATAGGAGCTTTTGAAGCTCTGATACCAGATGATGCAAGATTGGAATTACTCCAAACTTTAGATCACTTGATGATCAAGAGATTCCAAGCTTAGCTTGCGGAAGGTGGAATTCACGAGCTGGTAGCACTCTCTCGTGAATCAGTGGGTGGTTCAGGGGATAGTTCAGGTGATTGACTCGCTCAATCGGTGGGATAATCGACTCACTCGATCAATGGACGAATAAAGGATCTTGAATCACTCAACAAAATTAATCCGCAGGTTTCTAAAGCACTAAGTGACTCACTCACAAAGAACTAAAGAACAAGATTGACAAAGACTCAAACTTTGACAAGAATAAAACTTTCTATTACTTTAAATTGATCAAGGGTCATTACAAATGAAAAATCTAATGAGCTTATATAGGCTCAGCTACACGTGCTAATAATGTAAAACAAGAAACAAATCGCACAAAATTAATTACACTTGCCGTTGGGACTTTATGAACCAAATCGGCAAAATAAGGCAAGTAGAGAGATGCCTTGAGTCTTGAAAGCTTAGGTGTGAATCCATGACTCCTTGGAGTATCTAGGTTCATTGTTGGAAACTTCAAGACGTGCATAAGTGAATAAGGAAGGAGTCTTTGAAGCTTGATCTCCTTTTGCTCCATATATGGCAAGTAGTGACTCATTGGCTTCTTGTGTGGTAAGGTGTACCAAAGATCGTGTGGGACAAGTCTTGTGTGGCCTAAAAGTTCTCATAGTTTCCATATGCAGCTTTGGAACACGTCCTCATGAAGGTTTAGGAGAGTTTCCTTATCATGCTCCAAGTAGATCAATGGCATTGATTCAAATGGTGGTTTGGACTTGGGTCTTCTTTCGGGCTGTTCTACATGGGCTGGGGCCTTGTGGTGATTCAAATGAGTGTGTGGACTCCCTTCATAGCTGATCCAAATGTTAAAAGACTTCAAATCCTCACAGCTCGCAATCTGATATAGTTCAGGCAGTCGGTTAGCGAGTAGTTCAGGCAGTCGATCAACGAGTAGTTCAGCATGCTTGTCAGCGAGTAGTTCAGCATGCTTGTCCGCGAGTAGATCAGAATGTACATCAGCTATCATCTTTGAATCATATGGATGGTGAATGATTCCTTGATGACTTGGTGTTGCCTCATTAAAAACCTTTCTAGGTAAACTCATTGGGACAAACCCTAGATAAGGGAAAAAGAGTGCAACAGTCATATCCCAATAATAAGGTGATTTGACTTGCTGATTTTTGATCCCTCTTGAACTGTCGGACTTCTTAGGGTTAATATCATGGTGAATAATTAACCCTTCACCTTGTACTTGATCAGAACTCCACTTAGACAAAGATTCTCCAAAATTCTCCATGTAGACCGGTTTGGTGTGCTCTTGATCTGATCTAGTTCTGATGTCCGCATCAAAAAGCACAATAAACAACAACGACTTCGAATTTGAATTTTAAAAAAAACAAAAAAAACAAAAGCAAGGCGTCAAAAATAAACAAAGACACACAAATGTTATAGAGAATGCTTCAAGTGATGCATTATTACCTTAAACCAGTGAGGATGAAGAATTTATATCCTCTAAAAAAATGTTTCTTAGACTAATACCTTTTTCAACGTCAAATACATAGAAATATTTTAATGACAAAAATGATATTCAAACAATAAAAAGTTAAGAAATTAGTCGCTGGTAACTTAAAATAGAAAAGAATAAATAGAAAGATTCACAAATTAAGTAGTAAATGGTAGGAAAATACTTATGTTCACCTCTAGAGGTGAACCTATGGGTGAACCATTTCATTCACCTTTCTCATATAAGCCAATCAAATGACGCCATGTCACATTAAATTAGAAATAGATATATCTTAAAAAATCTAACAAATAATATTAAATTAATTAAACTCAAACTGACATATAAACTCGTTTAATTGTACAATCAAAACCCATATTCACTTTTGTAAACCCAAATCAATGTATATCTCCGTTTAATTATGAAAACTAATCCTGGCAAAGACCAACGTTGGCCGATGTTAACCAATAAAAATATTTCAAATTTTTAATATTATTAAAAATCCAAAATAATAAATTGCTATATTAAATTTTTATAGTTTTATAATTGAAACATTATTCTATACTCAATATCTAAATATTTTATATATATATATTTAATGTATTCATTCTTATAATTAGGTAATTTTTAAATTTATTAGCTAAGCTAAATAATAATTAAATTCAAAACTTAATAATTAATTTTAAGACATATATATTTTCCTCTTTGTCAAAAAAAAAGACATTTATATTTTCCTAAAATCAAATATATTGCTTTGAAAAAATCAATTTTTGGATCTTCTATTTTTTATATATTAAAAAGTAATTATTGTGAGTTTTTTTGTTGTTGTTTACATTTTATTATGTATTTAAAGTTTTTACAAAAAATTATGTAAAAATTTCCTATAATTCTTTTACCATGAAAACTTTAGACCAAAGAGTCATATATTCAATCTTTTGCATATTATTTGCTAATAGAATTCATTGAGTTTTTTATTTTTATTTTAGTAATATTTTTTCTAGTTGAAAAAAATATTGATGATTTTTATTTTACTATTAGGTGTAGCTTTAAAACTGAATAAAATAACTAATTACTATAAGAATAAATACATTAAAAATAGAGAAATTGATACCAATAACTTTTTTATGATACCCTATTTTAAAAATACCCTCTTTTTTTACCATTTTTTTTTTTGGCCTCTCTTATATTTTAATGGTTATTTTACCCCTATTTGAAAGAATATTTTCTCCCAAAGGAAGGAATATTCCATCCAAAAATATTCCCCCCAAATATTTCCCGCCAAAAACTTTCCCGCCAAAATTTTCCCGCCAAAAAAGTTTCCGAGAAAAATTTTCCCGCCAAAAAATTTTCCCACAAAAAAAAAATATTCTTTCAAAATTTTCCCGCCAAATTTTTTTAAAGGGTTTACAAGATTTTTTAAAGGGTCTTTTAAAGGGTTTACAAGGGTTTTTAAAGGGATTTACAAGAGTTTTTAAATGGTTTTTAAAAGATTTGTAATGGTTTTTAAAGAGTTTTAGAAGCCTACAAAGGTTTTTAAATGGTTTTTAAATGATTTACAATGGTTTTTAAAAGTTTTAATAAGTTTATAACAGTTTTAAAAGGATTTACAAGGATTTTTAAAGGATTTTAAAAATTTACAAGGATTTTTAAAGGTTTTTTAAAAGGATTTACAAGTGTTTTGAAAAGGATTTAAAAGTGTATTTAAAGGCATACAAAGATTTAAAAATAGTTTTAAAGGATTTACAAGAAGTTTTAAAGGGTTTTAGAAGTTTACAAAGGTTTTTGAAGGGTTTACAAAAGTTTTTAAAGGTATTACAAGTTCTTTAAAATGGTTTTTAAGGATTTACAAGGGTTTTTAAAGGGTTTTAGAAGTTTACAAAAGTTTTTATTAAATGATTTATCACGGTTATAAGGGGTTTAAAGGGATTTACAAGTGTTTCTAAATGTTATAAAATGATTTACAATGGTTTTAAAAGGTTTACTCAAGTTTTGAAAGGTTCTGGATGACTTTTAAAAGATTTCTAAGGATTTTTAAAGGATTTATAAATATTTACAAGGTTTTTTTAAGGAATTGCGGAAAATATTTTGTCGGAAATTTTTTGGCGGGAAAATATTTTGGCGGGAAAATTTTTGCCGAAAATTATTGGCGGCGGGAAATTTTTGGCGGGAAAATTTGGCGGGAAATTTTTCGGAAGGAATATTTTTCTTGTTGGAAATAATATTCTTTTATTCATCATGTGTTATAATAAATGAGGGTAATTTAGTCATTTTGTACATTGAAGAGGGTATTTTTGAAAATGGACACCTAGAGAGGGTTCTTGTATAAAAGGGTATCATAAAAATATTAGTTGTGCAAATCTCCCTTAAAAATATATACAAATTGTCTTAGAATTTTCTATCACTGTCTTTGCTTATTCCCCTCATTGTTTAGTTTTACTTTAGTACTAGAGCTTTATATTACTGCCTCATTTTTCTCTATCATATCTTGAAATAAATTGCTCATGAAACTGTCATTTACAATTTCCCTATAAACGTATACTCCAAGTGTTCGTTTAAAAGTATATAACCATTTGCAATTGTGTAGACAGCTTCAATAGTTAAAATGTTCAATGTAACAATAATCCCACCATGCATGTATTGTAAGTAAAAAACCATTTGTTTCACCTTATTCCTCACGACACTACTCTTAGTCACGGACAGCTCCACTATTCTTCTAATCTAACAATGCCTTGGGCTAGTTTGTTTTTCTCGTAAAATGGATTCATTAAGACAAAATATCTTGAGGGAAATTAAGAAAAAATACAAGAGAAACAAATTATAACTAGAAGAGAATATTATATAGTTAGGGTTTCTTGAAGACTCTTCCAGCGATAAGAGCAGCTTCCATGACAATGGAGATGACATCAATCACTTCATCAGCATCACATTTGTTACCTTTGAACGTCGGTTGCTTCTTCTTGCTAAAACTGTTCATACAGTTTATGAACTTCTGACTACACTCTTGGCTTAGATAGTCATCTACAACACATCAACAATAACATATACTAAGTAAAAAAATATGTAACACTTTGGGTCTTAATGGTTGCAGCGGTTAAGGCGGACAAATTTATTTGCGGATTAGACTATAGTCCTCAATTGTGCGGTTCAATAAAATAGAAAGAAAACCGTTGCTGATCGACTACGGACCGAGTTGGTCCTCAGAGTTTGTTGTCCAGCCTAAAAATAGAGCGGACTAAACCGTTGACGGATTTGTCCATCTTGACCGCTGTTACCATTTGAACCCTTTATATAGTTAAAAAGGTGAGAGTGTAAGCTAGAAAGAGAGAGTAATTACTATTCTTGGATTGGACACAAGCATCATGGTTCATGCAACAAGAATCAAGACCATCACAAGGTCTCTCACCAGGACATCCACTGTAAAGTAGTCCACAATACTTGCCATACCTTAGAAATGGAGGCACTGTCCAATTTCAACAAAATATTAATAAACATGTCTCTCTTACATAAGTGAAATTTATTACAAGGGTTTGAGATTATGTTACCTGAACAAAACTCTGATTCACATTTCCGGCTACATTCTTTACTCTGTCCAAAACAAATCAAGAATCATACTAAACCGGATCTAAACCAAATTCCCGGTTTATATACTAGAATAAAGCATCATGATCGGTTTAAGTTTTTGACTAACCAAGGAAATGGAAGGATGTGTGAGCTGAACACCAACGTTAAGAGCAGAGACAGAGACAGAGAAGAAGCAAAAGAAAGAGAGAAGTATGATCGGAGCCGCCATAGTTGAAACTGGTGAAGCTCGGAAAGTGAGAAGAATATTATATAAACTTTGGTTTTGGTGAAAAAATGAAATGAGTAATAAGAAGAGAGAAGAAGGTAGAAGACGAAGAGCTTGTGACTTGTTTGGTCTATGATTTGGCTTCTTCTATCTCGTGACTCGTTTGTTTGGTAATGACACAATAATGTGATTTTACATATTTACGCCTAGAGACTCTTTAGGTAGTCACATTTATTTAGTTGTTTTCTCTAACACGTAAATTATTATATCTTTGACTCTTGAGCTACCAAATAATACAGCTCATCATGGAAATTATATTTTAACGTAAAGTTTTTCATTAATTAAAATTGCTTAATTAGTGGTTATTATCTCTTTTGTACAATATGCGTGTGTCTAATCCAACTTTCTTTACTTCATTATGTTATGATTATTATTATTATCTCTTTTGTAGACAAAATAATATCCAGATTTTTAACATATATATATAGATATATATATATATATGTATGTTACCTAACATTATTTTATAAACATATTGAATAATATTTTGCTATAAATAAATTGAGATTTATAATCTTGGTGTTGGTGAGTAATCAACTAAGATATTTTCGACCCAAAAAAAAATGTAACAGAACCAAAGATATAATCTTGAATTTTTTTTTCATTTTTCTTGCAAGTTCTTATAAATTTGAACGGAAGATTATGTGATTTTTCCGTATGTATTCTTCAAGGTGGTTTAAGATTTCAATACATTTGATGACTTAAGAAAATAAGGTTAATTAGATATAGTTAACACAATGTATTGCGCTTTGGCGCATTTTTGTTACTTGTTAAAAGTGGTTAATTAGTGGCAATATCCGCTCACGATCATCTTTAAATTTCATAAAACAATGAATGAGATAATCAATTAAAAAGGTAGTTGGTGACAATCCTTCGTCTAGGCTTATAATCCTTATATATCACTTAAGATCTCTGACTAAATTTCGATATAAGATCCTAAATCAAATAAATTTTCGTCTCTATGCTTGTTAGCGTAACCGAAAATAAATCTTTTTGTGTTTTGGCGGTCCGATATGTACTGATTTTTTGTCGCAATTTATAATTTGATTCCTTCTTTGCAGATTTATGCTTTTGGCTTTCAACCATTTGATCTTTAACATTCCACATCCGCAGACCGCAGTGGCAGTTGAAGAGGTATTGGAAGATTTTTTCAGTTTCATGCACTCGAGTTATGATGGAGATTAGATTATTTGTTGCTTCATCTTGATTGATATCAAATTCTAGTTAAGCATATTTCAACGTTACCGATTTTCAGTAAATAACAAATGGTTCCAACATCTTAAAAAGGAGGCATATCAAACCATAGTAAGTAAGAATTTTTTTATTTGTTAAAAGTTTTATCAAACACCAAAGAAGGATGTATGTATTTGTGAGATTTATGGGTTCCATCGACATCAAGAAAATTTCTTATATCGGAGAAAAACTAGTAAATGATTAACTTTTAACTTTAGTGATTTTGTTTGTATTTTCTTTTTCTTAAATTGTCTCCTTGTTTAAGCTCTTTTTTGTTTTTTCCGAAGATGTCAATTTTTTCCACTAACTTACTTTCAAAAATATAATTCTTTCCACTAACTTACGTAATTTTTTTTTTAATATATGCGAAAGGAATATAAAATATTAACAATTCAAAACACTAAAGTTGTTGACAACCAATAAGCTTAAACAAAAAAAATATGCAAATATAGAAGAAACAAAAATAGGATATGTCTATTTCAAGTTTTTTCATTCTTCATGTTCTTCTCAAGCTTTGTTTTCAAGTATCAGTTTATCATCTTTAGAGGGAAAAGAACTGCATAAATGATTCACACAAGGGGCTACATGTCGATTTCCCAAATGATATAGAAGTTATATGTTTTGTACTTTTGTTTATTTTTATACATTAATATTTGCTGCTACTAATCTCCATTTTTTTTAGAATTTTTTATGACATTTTCTAACTTTTAATTTTTTTTTTTATTTTGTTAAAAAAGAGGGTATCGTTACTTAGTTATTGTAATCGCAAACTAATCGATTGTTCGAAATATCGAGTTATTTATTGTTAAAATTGTTTATCGTCATTCAAATATTTATGCTTTATCGTTTTCTTAAAATCTAGTTTCTAAATTATTATAATCAAAATAGTTTAAAAATATACGTAAATCTTATATAAACTAAAGTAATTATAAGTTTAGATAAACCACACACATGTGAGGGTAGAGACAAGTTTCTGTTCATGCTTTAGCAAAAGTTTCTATTCATGTAGTTTAGAGAATAAAGGTGGCCTGTCAAGTTATAAATTATAATGGCTAATTAAAAAACATGATTATGTTATACCAAATGCACTTTTAACCACGTTAAAGAATAAGATTTCCCAAGTCTAATGGATCATATATATAATCATATCTTATAAGAAACGTACGTAGAGCTAAGCAATAATATAACATATAATTTAGGCCCAAACATAGCATAAACATCACGGGCCAACATACAAAGACATATCAATCACTTGAAGCATAACTTAAAATAGTAACGATAGTGTTACACCCCGATCCATTGAAGCCTCCTCAAGACCTTTTACTTATGCATCTCTGTCTCTTTTACATTCCACTGGCATGACCGGGAACCTAGCCCGGTCGGTACAATAGTTGTAAATGGTCCACTTCGAACGTACCCATTTGAGACGACGCCATTGGTAAGCGTCAAGGTCACGGAAGTCCTTTTGATCCCACCACATACGTCCTTGAGTGGCACAGTACTTAGCCTCCACAGAAGCTTGGCAACCATCAATGTGGAATCCTTTGTATGATGCAATGAAAGGTGCATTGGCCCAATTAGTTTTCTCTAAACCACCTCTCGTGGCCCAGTCATCAGCGTTCCAAAGACTCGAGTAAAGTTTCATTGGTTGGTTAAATGGGAAACGTACTCCTAGGTCCTTAGAGTTCTTGAACGTTCGGATTGGTATGTTGTCAACAAAGAATCTGATCAAAAGAAATATCAAGAGTTTAGTAAACCACATGACTCTCATAGTCTATAATTTATAAACCCCACATATTATAAAAAAAACCCTCACGCGAATAAAATATATAACTATTAAAATGTTAAATATACATATTAATTATAAAAATATTCTAAAACTAATTTCCGATTAATATCAAAGTGTAATTTCGGATTAATCGAGTACTACTAAGCTTATTTCGACTGTCCGACTAGTGAGTCACATACTCACACACCATATGACCATAGGCTAGGTTCATTGTAACATTAAAAATAAAATAAAAGTTAAAAAAGACTGAAATGTTTTGAACTTTTTTGACTCAAAAGTCTCTCACTCACTGTCTAAGATAATCTTACAAGACCCTACTACTTTTTGATAAGATCAAGATTGGGCCACGCTCGAGGTTAAGAAAAAATAATAATAATACCAAAATAATTTTTGAAATTGCACCGAACAATGAAAAAAACAATAATATAAACAGTAGTAGGACCATGTTAATACTGACAACTTTTTTCACCATATAATAAAAAAAATATATATAAAATGTAAATGTTAAGTAAATGAAAGATGAGAGGATAGAGATGATTCATACACGATCTGGTACATGTTCCAAAGGATGGAGTAAGTGTGGTAAGCCTTAGATGGGTCGAACCAAAGATAGATACGTTGTTCTCTGTTTCCTTTTCCTCCAGTGAACACATTCGTCTGCAATATTGCTGGTTGTCCTGTTCTGTTCCCAAGAAACTCAAAGTCTATCTCGTCATGCTCGTTGTTGGTCGATGACAGCTTCACATTATTCATTGTAATTAATAACTAATTATCTTAAAGTTTAGATCTATGTATTATACAGAGAGAGAGAGAGACTTACATAGAAAGCTGTGACTACTCCAGCTGTGTCACCGGCCGGTAGCTTTATGTGCATACTGAAATGTCCAAACAAATATGACCCTTTTGATTGGAACCCTGTCCCTGTTTGTTTTTATTACACATGTAACATAGTTAGTGAGTTAGTGTACCAAAGATCTTGGGGCTTAAGAAGAACATAAAGGGTTCGAGTGGTAACAATGGTCAAGATGGACAAATCTGTTTAATCCGCTCTATGTTTAGGGTGGACAAAAAACTTGTCTACCAACTCTATTTATATGTAAAAGCGGTTTGTAGTTGGTCCGCATCAGTTTTCTTTCTATTTTTTGGACCGCACTATTGCAGACTACATTTGATGAATGGTAAATAAAAAATGGTTTAATCCGCAGATAGATTTGTCCGTCTTAACCGCTGCATTCAGACCCAAAGACTTGCATAATATTAAGAGACATATGTTTTCGGACACTAATCTATGTAACAATTTAGTTATGGTAATAAGTAAATGTATATACCAGTGTATTTGTCGAGGATGAGTTGAAGTTCAGAGCCACCATTGAACTGTTTCTGATGGTCAAAAGCCCAAGTTGGGACGTAGTTACGGCCAAAAGGTACATCAATGGCTTTGCGAGGAGGAATAGACATAACCATTGTTGAAGTAGCCATTAGAAACAGAGCTATAAGAGCCAATGGAGATGAAGAAACAGCCATTGTTGTTGTTGTTGTTTAGAAAGAGATAGAGATGAGAGAAGCTAAAGGAGGTGTGGGTGGGTTTATATAAGGACGACGACTTGTTTTTTCTTCTTTTTTACGATAATTATTAATATTTTATTTTTTTAAGAATTGATAAATCATGTATTCAAGTTTCTAGGACATTTCTATTTTATTTTTTGGATTTTAATTAATTTTTTGTAACCAATGGTTTACAACTGTAATATAGTAGACATGATTACATCATACGTACACAGCTATACAGCTTTCACAAGCAATTACTATTTATTTGAATGTGAAATACATCTTTATGCATTGTTTGGTGAATAATGAATGTTGATGATTTAATTTTGTTGCACAATGACAAAACTAAACAACTCTTTTATATATTGTCCTATTTTTTCTTCTTATATAAACATTACACTTTAGTTAGTTGCTTTACAAAACTCGAAATTGAAAGTCTTTTTTATCTCTAGACGAAAACAAAAGAAACAAAATACATGATAGATTAAATGTCATAATATCTAATTCATCAGAA